AAGGATTTTGCATATCCAAGTATCTTCTGCACATGCATATCTTAATTTTCCCCAAAAGATGATTAAGTGAGAGTAAGAGATGAGTTATCCTGATCTGATCTGTCGGCAAGGAACTGGCAAGCTACATATTTATTAGCCACAATTTACAAATAAACACAATTCGAGTTAAACAGTTACTTAATAAGCACGATGCACATTGATTACTATGTTAACATTTGCATATGGGACGATTTTTATAATATTTACAGCAGTGAAGATCTCAGATCAACGTAGCACATATTCTTTACTTCTTCGAGGATGGTGCAGCCATGATAGGAATGTTCCTTCTGTTGGGTTTTTCAGCATTTTGCTTCGGTGCCTCGACACAAAGGTGGCCTTCGTGGCTTAGTTGAGTATGAACTGATTCCAAGTCGACATTTTCGGGAAGAGTCCACTTGCGGACGAAAGATCTGTAAGCACGGTCATTTTCAAATTTCCCACCGAAAAGAACAAATTTTGCCTACCTATGGATGAAACTGTTGTCACCCTTATGTTCTTGCTTTCCTTCCACACACAGCTCCCTACCATCCAAATGCACGTTCAGCTCTTCAGGACGGAACTGCGAGACATCCAAAGAGACAGCGAAGTGCTTGTCATCGTCGACTATCTGAAAGAGGTACGGTATGGGCAGGAGGTTACGGTATGGGTAAGATTGAAACCTACCTCCTTAGCATCATTGGCAACATGGAGCACTGAGTGATCAGCATCTCTCCAGTAAGGAGTTATGCTACGGTCCATATCACGGACGTATTCGTTCATAAGACTGTTCATTATACGAGGAACTTGCCAGATTTCCATGGTGATAGCTTGTTCTAGAATTTGCTGAAATTATTTCACTTTACCAAAAAAATTGGAATATAAATATTGGCAAATACGAGCGCGATTTCAGCCAGAAATTGAATTAGAACAAAATCTGGGATCTAAATTTCACAAAATGTAAATGACATACTAGAGAGGGTGCTAATATTTTCAAATCAGGCACTGTTCTAGATTTCAAAAACAAAAGATGATAGGAAAGGTCTATACTAGTACAGCCACCTCGTTCAAAACATATTATTGTCGATTTTTTCATTAAAGCTACCACGTGTGCGATAAACAAAGGCGCAAAAGAAAGTACCAATGATGAAGAAGAAACTTCAAATTAGAGCCACTGGACACATGCACTTTGAAGGAAAGAACTGTTATTGCGAGATTTTTCAAAATACTGGTAGATGGAATGTCAACGAACACCGGATAAGGTTGCGAGGCGCACAGTATGGCTTCAATGATAAATTTTTCTGATCTGTTATGCATGGAAAATTCTAAAGATAAATTTCCATCATCATTCCAGATTTAACACATTTACGACAAGGCATTCTTCGATGAATGCCTTCTTGGACCAAGGCACATTTCGCATTTTTGAGTTGGGTAATGTTTTCTGGCCACTAAAAGGTCTTACGCTCTGAAGTGATAATTTTTTGGGAAATGGTGTAAGAGATGTACACAGAAGTTTATCTAGTTTGTCCAAAAAGTTTCATAGTGAACTAGCAAAACTAAAAGCTTCAGAAAGCATACGGCCCACCGATGGGTCATATTGTCCCAAATGGCAAGACACTTACGACCCATCAATGGGTCATATTGTCGTGAACGGTTTGATGTAAAGATTTGACCTTGAAGCAGATGTAAGCCATTTCATTCCAAACGGAGTGATAGCCAGGTTCTTTTGAGGTAAAATTCACGAAAAAATTTGTGGTTGGGGCTGGAGTTGGTGGGCACCCCTTGAGATATTCACTTTCAAGGATTTCAAACTTTTTTATAGATCTGCACTACCGTT